TGTGCGCTTGTGTGTGTGCGTGTGCATGTGCGCTTGTGTGTGTGCGTGTGTGTGTGCGCTTGTGTGTGTGTGCGTGCGTGTGTGTACGCATGTGGCTAGAGTTCCCCCTGTACTTGCACTGCCTCCCTCCAGGTTCTCTGGTCACCCCCCCTCACCCCCAAAGTGTCCGAACAGGCTACAGACAGTGACCCCACCGCCTGTCACCCACCTTCCTGCCCTTTGCTTTGACGGAGAAGATGGGCACCCGTCCGGCGAGAGGCGGCCGGAAGAAGGGCACCTTCATCTTCTTGTCATCTTCATCGCAGGACCAGCCTGGCACGTTCTCCTCCCCTGGAAAAGGACGCAGGCGGCTGAGCCACACGGCGACATGTGACCTCCAGTGTACAGACGTACCACCACAGCTCAGAAACGCATTACATCATTACTAAGCAGAACAACAACAATAACCATAATAACCATCGTCATCCATCCAGAGAGTCTGGAGTCTGTTATTATGCGGTGGCTCAGTGGCTCATGGTTTTCGCTCGCAGTGGGGGGAGTTTGCATCGTCTCCCTGTTACACCCCTGTACTCTTAGGCTAAATGGAATCTCTAAATCGCCCATAGAGTATGACTGTGAATGTGTGTCTGCAGTGGACTGGCATCCTGTCCAGGGTGTAACCCAGCCTTGTGTCCTGAAACACAGTCAAAGCATCACCTTGCATCTAAACATACTCAGTAGCTCTCCAAATTGCACCATACATTACAACTGTAATTGCTATCAGAGTGTCCCACACAGGGGCATATACAGGGGCGGGACCACGGGGCCACTGGCCCCAGCTAAAAGTTGATTGGCCCTTGGGGCTCCACCTCCCGTGTCATTCACAGATTCAAAACATATCATTGGATAATAATTATGTTGTCCCTTCTGTATGAACTATGTCCCCTCTTATGCCCTGGTCCCACACATGACTGTACACTTTCTTCTTAAACGTACTTTCTACTGACCATGGAATGGGGTTTTATTTATGAGGCCGTAAGTCATAAAGCACAGCTGATTCTCCACGGAACTCAACACCCGAGGATCCAGCCCCACGGCCCTTCGCTCCAGTCACAGCCAGGGGTGCTTAGAGTCCCAGTGCGTAACAGCTTCCATCTGCAGTCTGCCCCCTGCTGGTAATGGAATAACCTTGCAGGGGAAGCCTAGCTGCAGGGCCATGCATAAGGGAAACGCAATATTATACAAAAAGTTACACATATATGAAAAACGTGAAAAATAAAGTGAGGCCAAGACTGCAGCAAGGTAAAATGGGCAATCAGGGAGCACATTCAGCCAGCGAATCGCTGCTTTTGTCAAGCAGAAACGGAGGAATGAGCTGAAGACCAATTAAGCCACCGAACACACCAAGCTAATCAGAGAGCGATTTTTAAAGCGGGGAATCGTTAAGACGTCGGCCCGCTTCCCTGTGGCTGTGGGGGGGGGGGGACAGGCTTTGAGTTCATTGGTAGTGCTAAGGTTTTTAAATCACATTATGGTGCAGAGTTGTTTAACTAAAACAGAGATGAATTCTTGGTGCCCTGCATGCGCAGAGTCACGTGTTGTTTCCGTGCCAACCAATCCATCACATACAGCGTTTGCACCTGGATATATAGAGACGTCATGGTTCTGCAGTAGAATATCAATCCTCTAAAGTCAAACATGGTGCCTTTTCTAGATTCATTTTCCCTTATGTCAGCCTTGGTTGCTGTAGCGATTCCCTCCACTAACCCATATCCTTTGTACCTTCACACCCTGGCAGTTCGGAGGTTCCTCGGTGCTTCCCCAAGGGGCCGCCAACAGAGCAACCCACGTTTACCGCAATTACCATGCAAGCGCCGCCCCTGTGGAGCTGGTCGGTAATTGCACAGCAGATGGCGTGAAAATGCAGTGTTTATTTCCATAACTCACATTAAGCCTTTGTTTAAATTGCACGCTCGGAATGTGTTCGCATCTCCTAAAGCGGCGGTTCGACTAGCTTAGGTGCCGTTTGCAAGCCTTTTGCATGACGCGTGGAGAGACTTCAGCATGGCCAGGTCTTCCGTGGCAGGAAAGAAGATAAATGAGCCCATGTTGTTGTAGACAGACAAGGGAAATGACCTTCGACCTTTCAGAACACCTTTTTAAGGTACCTTACATGGGTGATGATAATAGACCCCCATCAATCTAATTAACTACTGTAGGTACTTAGCACGCCCCCGCTGATTTGAGAACAGGGCACTCAGTCCTGCAGTCACGATCATCTTGCTTAACCCAGGAGAAGAGAAGATGGTCTCCCCCAGAGGTTTGTGTGGGAATGAGATGAGGAAGCAAGCTCGCATAAACCCCACCCCCACCCCACACACACGGAAAGGCATCCTCCTCATTTTTCACCACGGATGCAAATTCATGTTCCATGACCGTCGCATAAACAGCAGGACCACAGATAAACCTCCATCGAATCCTCGTTTTTGAAATTTTCATCTGCGTCGCTTCTGTACTGGCATGACGACGCGGAAAGAAGCCCATGGCGTTGTGACGTTCCGGTTTATTTCCCACACGGGGTCCGGCCCTGTCACCTGGTCGCGGCCCCCCGACACCGCCGTTCTTAGCGGGCCTGTGATTGAACGCCCCTTGGGGTCCATCGCTGGCTCCTTTCCACCCCAAAGCCGCCGTTTGCCCCGCCGCCCGCCGCCGTTCCGTTTTACCGCCCTTATAATGTCCTCCACGTCCGTAATTGAATTCATCCATCTCGGTGGCGCGGGCCAGCAGCCGGAGGAAGCGTTCCTGGCTTCCGCAGCTCCAGGATCATTTATCAAACGGTGCATCGGCGGAGAACGCTCACTCCTGGCCGCGCTCGCAGATGCCGGCAAATCTGCAGCGGCTGCATGGCGTGCTGCGGACAGCACGGGAACTTCTGCGCTTGCTGCTTCAACTGACCTTTTTAATAAACGCTGCAGTGGTGGATTTATTGGAACTGATCATCCCCCCCCGCCAGTCTCCATGATGCTTTCTGACTCGGATCCGGTCCTCATGCCATGTGCTTTAGTGCAACCTAGAGCATTAACACCCCCCCACAAATGCGCTTTGTGCTGGATTAAGCTTCCAGCTGGGGCCCCCGGTGAAGGCTCCACCCGTTCAGGTCTGTCAACAATCTGGGAGGGGGGTCCTGCTTTTTGGGACACTGACGCCCCCACATAAAGTGGCACAGTGGCAGTGTGTGTTTCTCCCTCCCTACACCCAGCGCGTGGTCGTGGTGAGAAGGCAGGGGGCAGGAGACAGGGGGCAGGGGGCAGGAGACAGGGGGCAGGGGGCAGGAGACAGGGGGCAGGGGGCAGGAGACAGGGGGCAGGGGGCAGGAGACAGGGGGCAGGGGGCAGGGGGCAGGAGACAGGAGGTGCCCTCAGAGGGTTAGCAGCAGTGAATTTATTTTGCTTTAATAATTAATGTTTAATATTTCTTGTTTTCATTTTTCAAAAAGGCTGTGTTTGCTATTTTAAAAATTTTTTCTTTTAGGTAATGTCTCAAAAAAACTGCACCAATATGTGGATCCCTCATACACACACACAGACACACACACACACACAGACTCACACACACACACACACCCGCGCGCGTCTGTCAGCCCATTACCGGACCGCTTCCACAGCACCACCTGAAGTTCCGGCTCCGGCCGCCACAAACCAGAGAGGCCAGGATGACCCCCGCCAGACGCCCCCACCGCCGTCTGTACGCGCAGCACAGTCCCAGCCTCCCCCTCTCGTAGGGCCGCGCGCTGCACTATAAACACATCTGCTATGTGGGAAGGCTGGAGGTGGCCGTCATGTGATCAGGTCCGCGCAGGAAATGCACCTCCGTGAGGAGATCCAGACGACTGGAGCAAAACGGTTGTTAAGCATGAGCCATGGCCAAGTGGAAACAGGGAAAAGGCACCTTATGTCAGTATATAAATAAAGAAAAACGCATTTCCAGACTAAGCACTAGTCATAAAACAGCACAAAACCCTTCAAGACAAGTGAGGAAAGGCATGATGGCCAATAAGACCATACCTGATCATTAACGTTTCATCGACAACAGAAATGTCCACTAAGCATGTAGGTTAGTTCTATAAAAAAACACGCAAAAGCAGGCAGAAGCTCCGCCCACTTGGCGGCGACACGGCAGGTCCCGTCACCCATCCAGCGCCCACTAGCCGTCAGAAGCGATCGTTTGCTGCCCATCGCCGTAAAAATGGATTTGCTACGCCGATGCAGGTTATAAAACTATGAACAGTGCGTGGGTTTTATGTGCAGAAATGTTTTATTATTTTTATTTGTTTTTTTTTTTCCCGCAGAATTTCCAAACTGCACCTTAAACATCCCCAGGCACAGATGAAAATATAAATATACTGTTATTGAATGCTGAAATAAAATAAAATGGATGATATATCCAAGCCAGTGCAGGACACACATATCATTCACACCTATAGACAATTTGGCATCTCCAGTACGCCTCAGCATGCTTTCACAACACAGAGAGATCATCCAAACTCCCCGCACAGGGAGCCATAGTGGGGACTCAAACGCTGCTCCCACAGGTCCCAGTGCCACCACACCATCCTCACAGAGGATATCTGCTTGTCCTGCACAGGGTCATATATAGAATAATAGAGTATTTTGCACCATTTCTGACTATTTCATATCAATCCCTGTGTATTTGTTCCCACAGGCTACTGAACCAGCTTTATTAAAGTCTGATGTTGTTGGGCCGGGTCATAGGTCCGTTTGGCGAGATACTGCAGAACCTCGGCCTGGAATTATTGCTGAGAGCCGCATGACTGAGAACTGGCCCCCAGTAACCCCGGCAACCTCTTCTCGCCCTATTTTCAAAATGATTTTCTATGTACTTATTTTCCCTCTCTTTTACTTTTCTTCCCCATGACCCAAGCCCAGCAAACACCCAAGTGTGGGGGGGGGGGGGGGGCTTAGCAACACATCCCCTCTGTAGCCACGTCCTTTTACTCCCCGTCGGGCCACAGCAGGTGGCGCTGCAGAGCAACAAGATGGGGGGGGTGGTGGGAGGGTCTAACTTATTCAGACTGTCTAGACTGCTGATGTGAATGCAGTACAGGGGGTCAAGGCAGTATAAAGGCATTTCATGGCCTTTCATAGCAGAATTTGCCAGAAGCAGTCTTATTAGCCTTATCACCTGATCCTCGCTGCAAGAATAAGCAGAGCCCCCCCCCCCCGGCTTTCTCAGGCCCCCTGGGCAACCATGATCCACCCACGCAATCTGAAACAGGTAAAATGTGCACCCCTCCCCCCCCCAAAGGGTGCACAAGGAAAGTCAGACAACTGAGACATGGGAGGCAAGCAATAAATGCGAGGAATCTGACTGGAATGGCACTCTGAGGGTCAGCATACCGTGTGACAAACGAGGAGAAGATTGAGAGACGTGGAGGAAGGACAGGTCACAAACACCAAGTGTCCGATTCAAACGTAACTACTGCTAGACGATGGTCCTTTGGCTCAACGCCACAGATTGGCTGTTTTGTGGATGCCCTTTCTCTGCTTAATGCTGATTGGCGGGTGCCCTTTCATGCCCCGCCCTCAAGGACACCCCCCCCAGAGTCAGGTCAGAAGCATGGCTCACTTACGCTGAGCGATCTTGGCCAGATGCAGGCGGTTCACCCAGGACAACTTGCTGAGGGAACTGGGAGTGTTGAAGACCACCATAAATTTGACGGGACGTCCTGACCTGGAGAGACACGCGCATTAATTGCCACTTCCTGCACAAAGATACTCCATCCGACCACATCACCTTATCTGTGAGACGGGGGCAAGGGGCAGATTGCAGTGAGGGGGGAGGGGGGGTTCAATCCTCACTAATATTCATCCAGCACCAGTCCTCCCCTGCTGTATTGACAGCAAGGCACATATATGACAGAGGGGATCAGAACCAGTGACAGCGCCGCCATGAGGAGGGGGCAGGAAGTACCACCGATATGCAGCAGCAATGTCACTCTGCAGCTCTATCCTCTAGAGCACCACGAGGGCTCCAAATAGGATCCAATCAGTCCCAGGCCTTGCCCCAGCATCACTGGGCCTACTGCGAATTCCAGTTTAGCCACAGACAGTGACACTCTGCACCTTCCAGTGGGAAGCAAGACACACAAGCAGCAGCAGCTACTTAATATTTTGTTCATTCCACCCAAACTGTGCTGGCAGAAGAGGGCAAAACAACTGGGTTTCTTTTATCTTTTTGTTTATTTTTCTTCTGGGGGGTTGGGGGGTGGGAGAGAGAGAGAGAGAGAGAGAGAGAGAGATTAGAACATGGCCCCAGAGATCTAATGCTGCTGTATAAGTGAGAAAGGCAGAAGGGAAAAGAGCGAGAGAGACAGACAGATGTGGCTCTGGTTATTCATGGTGTGAACCCTGGAAGATCACTTCACGATGGCGAACTGGTCTGGCCAGCGACTGGGGTACATAACTTTGTGGAGCGATCCCACTGATTAATAAGTGATAACCAGGACCTAACAAAGGGAAGGAAATTTGCAATGAACAAAAACATTACGCCATTTCACCTGCAAGTCATTTTGAATAAAGGGGGTTTGTCTGAGAAGATGTGGAGAGAGCAGACAGTGAGCAGGAGGGTCAGATCATAGTCGTCTAAGAGACCAGAGCAGCAGTGGATATGTCAGAGCGTCAGGCTGGTGTGTAAACTTTCTACTGACTTCCAGAAGCACCGGGCTGTGTGTCATTCTCGAAGGTACAACAGCTCACAGGAGGCAAACTCGTTACCTTTCCGGCCATGGGGCAGCGTCCCAGACCACGGCGCCATCTGCTGCCCAAATCACCAGGCCTGACATGGGGGCACGAGTTCATCCGGAGCATCTCTGGAAGCACTAATTACTGATCCGTGCCGTTTACTCGCCCGTCACGTTTTCCGGGAGGTCGTCCGCATGGGGACAGAGCTGATGTTTGGGATCAAGGAAGCGCTCCCAGGCTACAAGAGGAGCGCTCCGCACGGCAGCCAGGGCACCCCAGCGCAATCTGTCGCCATGCGCTCCCCGCCGCAGGGGCGTGTCCGGGGGGAGGGCCGCAGCCCCGCCGTCTGCTCGTTCGGAGCCCTCAACCTGCCAGGCAGCTGATGCCGCTGCGGCTGGAAGGTAAACACCGCATGCTGCCAGCTGCGCTGTTTCATGCGACGACTGAATAAACCTGCGGCGATGTGTGCCAACCAGACAGCCCAGTACTGCTATAAATCCCAGTGCCTGTGATGGATATCACTCATTGAATCTGCATGACGACAAAGACCAAAATGTATCTAAGACCTACTGATTGAAATCAATGTTGTAGAAGAACAGCAGTTTGGACACCAGTGTCCCTGACAGATGCAAGCATCTAAGTGATGGATACCAGTGTCTTTGCTAGCAACACCAGTTCCTTTCATGAATATCAGTATCTCTGACGGTTATTGATATCATTGACGCATATTAGTGTCTGTAATATATACCAGCATCTGTGTGATGGATCCCAGCACCTGCATGAGGAATGCCAGCACCTTTGTGATTGATATCAATGTGTGTGATGAATATCCTGCACTGTGGATACCTGTCTGAGCAAAGCACACTCATCTAGGAGGAAACTGAACTCCCACAGCCCCTCCTGTCTCCTGACCTCCCTGAAAGAGGGACACGAATCTGTCTCCTTCGATCCCTTTATCACACATTTCTTCAAAGTCTTCACCCATTCCAGGTTGCACTGGAAAATGCGTCTGGATACGCCACATGCCCTGTAATCGGCAGCACGAGCAAATCAATGTAACGCAACCTCATTGAAGCGTACAAATGGACAGCACCTGCCACAATTAGAGCTGACACTGTCAATTATTCCATTTTCCACAGGGCTTTCCAGCGGCCCTCTGGGCCCGTGCGGAGCTGCTGTACCACCGCCGTAATTTGCTGCATCGCCGTGGTAAAGGTCAGACATAAAGACCCGTTAATGTGTCATGAATGGGCGCTGCACGTAATGGGCGCTCCACGTAGCTCTCTCTCGGTGGGCGGGGGGAGGAGAAGGGGAAGGCACCTGACCACAGGGTCAGCCGCTTCGTGATCCCAACGATGTCAGAGATGCCATGATGCTTGTTGGCACTACAGAGACTTCAGCCTCGGCTCTCGTTTTGTGCATGCTGCCAGGATTTCAGAGCTGTCAGCTAGCTACTGATCCTCTGCATCTCCCTGAAGTTACAGCCAATCATGTGTGTGTGTGTGTGTGTGTGTGTGTGTGTGTGCTGGTTCTCCAGCTGATTTCTAGCAAAAGCCTAAGGAGAAATACTCCAGGTAAAAACCAGTGATCGTACATGTTAGTCAATCCAGTGCTACAGCAAAACTACAGAGTACTGGATACCTGGGACATTGGGGTCACCTGACATACCCCCTCCCCCCCATATTGGGCTACTCACTTGTCAGTCCTCCCAGGGACCAGCAGACGAAGGCGGCACTTGTTGGCAACCTGTATCTGGTCCTCCTTGATTCGGATGAGCCTCTGTAGAGCCAGGCACCAGTCCTGAGCCACCGTGGTGTTAAGGTTCTGCACAAGAGAGACACACGAAACACCACCATGGTGTTCAGGATCTGCACAGGAGAGACACACGGAACACCACCATGGTGTTCAGGATCTGCACAGGAGAGACGCACGGAACACCACCATGGTGTTCTGGTTCTGGATAAGAGAGACACAAGGCAAACCACAAACCACAAACTTTTTTTCGGATCCCAGCAAGCTGGTCTCAGGTTGCTTCTCACCCAGTGATTTTGGTGTCTGTAATGTGGGGATGCTTTGCTATCCAGAGGTACAGACGTGATTCAGATTTGGTCTGTCAGAGCAAAGGTTGTTGACCGTCTCTTAGGACACTATGAACCACCAAATAAAGCAAATAAAGGCAGCGATGCCTCAAAACAAGCTGACACGAGGCAAAAATCTCTTGCGAGGCTTCTTGTGTTTTCCGGCTAAGTTTGATTAACACTCTAGGGAAGGTCAAAAAAAACTGCTCTACTAAGCATTCCCAGAAACTCAGACATCATGGGCAGAGCCAACCTACTCTGGTACATAAGAACATAAAAACTAAACAAACGAGAGGAGGCCATTCGGCCCATCAAGCTCGCTTGAGGAGAACTTAACTAATAGCTCAGAGTTGTTAAAATCTTATCTAGCTCTGATTTAAAGGAACCCAAGGATTCAGCTTGCACTATGTTATCAGGAAGACTATTCCATACTCTGACTACACGCTGTGTAAAGAAGTGCTTCCTTAAATCAAGTTTGAAATGTTCTCCCGCTAATTTCCACCTATGGCCACGAGTTCTTGTATTTGAACTAATGCTGAAGTAACTATTCGGTTGAACAGCACCCAAACCTGTTAGAATCTTATAGACCTGGATCATGTCCCCCCTCAGTCTCCTTTGCTTGAGGCTGAACAGATTTAGCTCAACTAACCTTTCCTCGTATGACATTCCTCTAAGACCAGGAATCATTCTTGTGGCCCTACGCTGCACCTTTTCTAACCATTGAAAATGATACCTAAAATGCATCCAGTAAATTATCTGTACAAATGGCCTAAAATTCAAGCTGCATTTGACACTGTTTACATAAGCACCTGTTAAGTAGTAAAGTAGCCAGATAAAAATCAAATGGTCTTTGTAAAATTAAGGTAGGCACACAGAGAAGCTTCACTGGACCTATGATTACCAAAACTGTGGGTCATCTGGGTCCCCTCAGTACCGACCCCAGCCGTATAATTAGCACTGTCAGGTTCCTCTGTACAGTTACAGACGGTCCCTGAAGAAACCTTCATTCCCAAACATCGTTCAGATGTTGGATGGTGCTGTACCCAGGCATTACTGGCCTGGGGAATGCAGTCTTTTCCAGATACAATGTTACGGGGCACCATAAAAACCAGTCTGCAAAGCAGATCTTGACTATTCCTAAACCAAAGAGTTGCCCAGTCACAGTTTCCATGATGTTCGGCTCAGCTTTTGAGCCATTCGGTAATTTCCTTATGCCAGACCTGATTTTTTTTTACCATACTTTGCTTACCCATTTTTTATGTGACTTTCCTCATGTACTTTCATAAAGCATTTTCAAAAAACGCATTTGGTGTGCTGATTTTTTTATACTCTAAAGAGTCTGACAATTTCTGGTGCATTCCAAATTCAGGTGCATTTCCATCCTGTTTTCCCTCTCTTTTATGTTAAGTCAGCCTCAGCCAAAAACGTTTCTTTCCAGAAAAATCCACTGCAGAGCAGTCAATTCCACCTTTACTTTGAGGCATCCTGTGAGCGTCTTGATGTTTACCATTATTGAAAGGATTAATTGGCTTTGTTTGATCGTTCTAAGTGGCAAGACGTTGGAAACCTGAGGTCATGTTGAGAGGAGGCTGGTTTTTTTTTGGCCCATCTAATCCAAGTCAAATTAATTAGAGCTTAAACAAGTTCTTTTTTCTGCCCGAGGGTCTGCGACCATTAAAGTACATTTGGCTCAATCTCCAAGGAGTTACAGAAACAGCTTAAGAAATAACTCAGATCCCTGCTAAAGACGCAATACCCCGAGGCTTGACACCAACCCACTAGGTCTTTACTGCTCTGATCAATTATTCCTCTCCTCCCACCATTCTATTTGCCGTCCCCCCCGAGGTGAGAGGCCTTGCTTGGTGAGCCGCTGACCCCACAGTCACACGGGGAGGCAAGTAGCTCTGCCAAGACAAGGGCTCACAGCCCCAAGGCTGCCCAAACAATTCCCATGAGGGAATTTCAGCATGTCGCCTAACTGTAATAAAAGAGAAAAAATCTGACTCTATGACTGGTAAAATTGGCTTTGCAAAAGGGAGACTGGGAGGCAGTTAAAGGACAGCATTGAAGAGAAGTGGATGGTCCATTTGTGCTTCATCTCAGGAGAAGGAGATGTGTTCTCACTCACATAGAGAATGATAAAGTGTCCTTTGATATGACAGGGGACAGCTGATGGCAAATGAGGATGTATCACAGTCAGACATCGCCGACTATGGACGGGACTAGGTTTACAAGCGTCTCGGAAGAATTGAAATATCGACGTTGACATTTGAGTTGCAGCCAGGAAGGTGCAAGTTGGGGAAATGGTAGTAGGGGGCTCCTCTGTCCAATAGTCAGCCTTTGCGGTGTCAGCATGTGTTGTTTTACTGAGTACAGTGGGCGGGGTTTAGAGCGGGGCTCTTTTACCTGATAGGTCCCCTGTAGTGTGCCGATCAATAGCGTCACCTGCTCCACCACCGACAGGTCGTGCTGTAGTTCCTGGAGTTCATGGTAGAGACGTGGGGGACCAAGGACCACTTTGCCTGGAGTGCAGGAGACACAAAACAGACAAACATATAGAACACGGTCAGTCACACACAACACAAGCACACAACCCACACTAAACATAAAGCTTGGTTTAATTGGACAAAAACCTTCCCATGCTGGTGTTCCAGCTTGCAAGAAGGGACGATTGATAAATAATGAACTGATTGTCGGTGTCTGTCAAGCCGCCATGCCGTATTGCATGGAGAAAAGGACACGAGACCAGCTAAAATGACAACAAGCAGGCATGAGTCTCACTGAAAAACAAAAAACTCCATCTGTGTCAACCACAGCCCCGTGGCTTAGAAAGGGTTACAGGTGGGTCCACCTCAATGGAGCTTCGTGGGACAAATTGTATTCCATATTGGAACACGACATTTTAATTTTCAATATGGCACGATCCCATAATATATGGGATGGGTCGTGAATCTAGGCTCTAAGATTATCAGAGCTGACACAATGCTTGAAAGTCCCAGAGATTTTTGCCTAGTGTCAGATCTGATAACCTTCTTGCCCATGTGGGTGAACTCCCACACAAGTCCAAAACAAACGACATGATTACATTCTGCTATGGATGCTGACTGGGCCCCAAAAGCTGCCAGGCCACCAGACGGCCACGCAAATGGGGACTTTTCCAAGTTGCTATTGCTCACAGTGGTCAAGCCCTTCAGTCTGTAACATCATAACAGCCCTACCAGGTGCAGAGCTGAGCCAGATGGCCTGTGACGGTGATCTGATTTGGTAACGGCAGATAGCACGTAGCGGGAGCTAACAGGTAACAGCAGCTACCTGTTAATGAAAGCTAATAGGTGACAGCAGTTAACAGTCAATGGAAGCTAACAGGAAGCAGTAGCTAGAAGCTAATTATTGCTAACAGGTAATGGAGGCTAATAGTTAATAGCAGCAGGGTTATCTGTAGCCTAAGAAAGGCCATTTTCAAGCATGGTCACACCGAACAGCTTGATACAAAAACTTCAATCGGCGAACGCCACTGGCAGGGTTTTTCTTGTCAATGTCGTGCAAAGAGAAAAGTGTAAAAAGCATTTTTAGGATGCTATCTTTTCAGCCACTGCGGCAGCACAAACTGAAATCACATGGACCCACCAACTGAACCACTTACCGGACCCTCAGGTCCTTAGGCCACCGAACGGCGGGCCCAAATCCGCCAGAGGAAGACGTAAACAAAGGGGGAGATGGGGACAAGGCCTGTTTTAACTTTTTACATCTCAATTTGAGCTGAAGGGGAAGAGGAGCGATCCCTGTATTTCCCAGAAGGCCAGCCAATTTCATCAATAAATCAGGGCACCAGGGCCTGCAGGAAATGAAAAATGAGTCCATTTCAGCCGAGGCAGGGAGCAGGGGATACGAATCAGGGCAAGTGCCCCACCGAATGACACCTTCTGGGAGAGAACGGTGACGTCGTCCCCCCTACACATAGTGTCGGATCCAAGGTCTATAAATAGACAGCGGTTTGTCTGAGAGGAAGGTGTGGTGAGTGGTTTTAGGCTTTGGCGGGGTCGGGGAAGCCTCAAAGAAAGTGATATTTATGCAACATAGTACGCTTTTTGAAACCCGGGTCACCCGGGAGTCAGAGAGTTAGAGCAAAAGTGGCAGAGCAAGCAGCAGAGAGGGATGCATGCTACGGTCCCTCAGGAAACTCACCATGTACAGCAACTAAAACACTGTCACTACCAGTCATATCATGGTGATGATGTTTATATCTTTTCAGCAAAACCAGGGAATGACACACAGGGGGATTAGTTACAGGACCTTGTAACTGGACCTCGGCAAGATGCAGGTATTCTCTGCAGATTGATGACACCTCACTAAGTTTGTTTATGGTCTGTCAGAGAGTGAAATGAGATTGTGGACCCTGGCATGGTGTTTTCCCGCACGGGGCGGAGCAAAATAAAGGCCCCCGCCCAGAAGCACGAGCCCCAATCAGGGACCTTCCCCTGCCTCCGAGGCCTGGAAGGAGTGAGCAGGAGCGGTGTGTGAGGGACGGGACCCACCTGGAACCTGCCGGGCCCTGCTGAGCTGAAACAGGGTCTCCGTTCCCTGGTCGTCCTCCTGACCCACCTCTGCCACCTGTACCTGCAGCAAGGGGGCGCTCCACTTCTCGGTGTACTTTGTGCCAATAGGGACCAGACTGCTGACATCGGGGAGCCCCCTGATGGTAAAAAGCAGAACTACAGTCAGCTCCCACACCTTTACAGCTATGCCTGTTGTCGAAGGACACTTCACTTTTTTTTTGATATATCTTATCTTAAAAAGAATGAAAAGACAAAGCTGGAATCCCTCTGATCGCTGTGAGCTTCGGACCCCTGGCTGCTTCAAAGGTTTATTGCTATTCATGTATTCAGCAATCAGACACAATCGGCATCGCGATCGGCTCCTCGAGATTTTATAGGGCACCCAAAAGTCAAAGGCGGGGAGCGAAGCCCGCGTGGAAACACGGGGGGATAATTACTTCAAAGCCCTGAGAGATAATCCCCAATGATAGTCATGGAGACTCGGGCGACCTGGAGAGAACTTTAAAACACCCAGTACTTTTGTGTAGGTGTAACATTGGCAGTGTGGCTTTCTGGTGGGAGCGGATGGAGAATGGAGGATGCGGCATCCAGCTGGATGGTTCCACTAACACCAGTCACCTATTGCTTTAAAAATACCCCAGCAACACACATCGCAACATTTATATTTAACTAATATGACTAATGTCACAGGACTGCAAATGACATCAGCCGCACTCAAATGCAGAAGACTTACATCCAAGAAGGGTGTCCCTGTTGGACCTTCATGCAAAGCTTTTAGCCAGGCTTTCTCCAGTAAAACATCCAGTCATACAAAGATGTGAAGCTGAAGATGTGCATATAGGTCTATTTTTGGACGGGTTCTTTTTGCTGGTCTGTTTCCCAGCGAGGGACACACTCACTTGACATTGATGTTGGCACAGACAAGCGCATTACTGAGGAGGAACACCTTGCGCTCTTTGGTCTTGAGGACCTGACCACGCTCCCCGTAGACGGTCTCCAACAGCGTCTCGCACAGGATCAGTTGGCTTTGGTCTGAGCTCAGCAGCTGAGGGGGGGGGGGAGGGTGGAGGATATTCAGACACCCACATCAGCAATGAAACCATCATGTCTACATTTTCCCTTTCAATCACTGCATTTAATGACTTACAAACCCAAACAGATGAGAAAAAAAGAAACAACTTTATTCAGTTTCTGCTACAAATTAAGCCATAAAGTGAACATTTGGCAACACACTCATGATGCCTCGTCTTCAGGTCTCGCTCTCTTGATGTCACAGATATAAAAACACGTCACAGATCCCTGGAAAGGTTTTTAGTTAGGAATAGTCAATTAAAGACACACCCAGTGGCTTATGCACAGAAACAGCAGCAGCTCACGCTGGTCTGTGCTCTACGCGCTTTAGCCCTGGCGCGGTGCGATCGATAAACAGGTCATTTCGTTTATCACACGGCCCCCTTCTGACCTGCTCGCTTCAATCTCATTTATTTTTTAAGGCACAATATAAGAGATCTTGTCATATTCAGCAAAAAAAGCTAAACGGTGAGTGAAATACAGACTCAATCTGAACAAACATTGCGGGTTTCTAATATTTATGTGCAATCAATCGGAACACTCAATTTCTCTAAATAATGTATTCTTATGCTGCCTACTCCACACCACAGGAAATAAATCGCTGTATCTGCAGAGAATCACTAAGGCTGCCATTTTGGTCAATTACATTCTAAAATGCAGCTGTTAATCAGGCAGGAGCGGCCATTTGCCATTCTGACGTGATCGGAGCACCCCCTAGAGGCCGTGGTGCTCATGATCAGGTTCTTTGAGCTCCTCATCCCCCCCATTACTACCAGAGCCCCGTTTCCCCGTCTGCATATGTGTGCATGCATGCTATCTGCCTGTTTGAGATACCAACTGAACCCACTCCCCACCCACCCTGCTTGCAGGTCTACATCTTCCTAATTACAGGGAGCTCAACAGCGGTGGAAGAAAGATGAATATTTCATCAGGGGGGAGAGCAGCCCCCTCCCACCTCCATCCCACCTCCAGCCCCCTCCGAAGTACTCTCAGGGGGCGGGGGGGGGGAGGGGCACGGTGAAACCCAGCCGTCTCACACAGGAGTCCCGAATACAGCACCAGTCCCCGCGGATGGCGTGCAATCATGCCTTCCAATTAAATGTTCCATTTCCTCCCTAATTCCCTAATTCGCCGACGCGGCCGCGCTGATTTGCAGCAGCTGATAGCGGGATGGTAATGGGAACGAAATGACCGCCGCCGTCGCATTTAGTCTGTGTTTGCAGCCGATAAAGTTGCATCATTTCGCCTGGGCGGCCATTTGGAAAAAAAAAAAATCATCGTTTAAAAAATGAGGTAAAAAATCCAGTGCAGCAGGCAGGAAAATTGGGAATATGAGGCTGGTTACGGCCCATGGGGGAGTGACGGGGGGCCGGTTACGGCCCCTGGGAGAGAGGCGGGTCGGGGGGCCGGGCTCGGATCACCTTTCTGAGGCCGCGGTCCCTCACGCTGCGTGCCAGCTGCTGCATCTCAGACACCTGGTCGGCCACGCGTTTCTGCTCGTTCAGCTTCTCAGCCAGTGTCTCCAGCTCTGTGAGGGCCAACTGCAGCGGCAGCCGGTCTGGATGCTCCTTGGGGGTGTTCTTCAGCATGTCCTGAAAGACAGAGGGTAGCCTGCCTCAAAGCTGGCCGTGTACCTCAGACAAAATTGACGGAGTCAAAATAGTTTTGGCAATATGATGTAGCATGACGTATAATCACCGCAGTGATCACTGTCTTGGTGCACTGCCTGTTCTGGGTCTTTTACATTTGTTCTGATCCCACTCACTGTCCACTACTGGCTGACATAAATCAAGTCGCGGTGTTGGTCAACAGAACTAATTATGCAATTACCAGCATGCTGTCTATCCCACCACATTTTAAATAATGTAAATTAATATACATATTTGTGTATTTCTGTTAATAGTAAATGTCGTGACCATGTAATGTTTGCTGTGGAATACGTTTTGTTAGCATTTAGCCGTGAATGTTGCTTAAATTGCTGGCTTCCCTGTCTGTGCCGCCGCAAGTATTAAACCAATAATGGCTGTTAATAAAGAGAGTAACTTTTATTTTAAGAGGTGTCATCCCCTTTAGTAAAATGACTCATGTAGACACCACAGACATTTATTTGCGCTCTGTATATAGATCTGCTGCATCAAAAATATTCTGCATCCTCTAGGGTTGTGGGGTGACACAGAATGAACAATGCGGCAACGTCGTTTTAAGTATGCAATAAATTGTTCATGCTGATGTCTTCGATTTCGTTTTTGTCCAGACGTTTGAAATATAACCACGGCTTAAGGGTTGGATGTGGGGTCCAGCCAATAGCAATTTAAGGGAACTCAATCATGCACCAACCGCCTGCATCTCCTTTACTACTAAGGCGTCAGGATCAGCTCCGTTGATACCAGGGCCAGCTCACGGGCTATTTAGGAGCCTGTTAAACTGGCCAAATCCAACCCCTTAGTCATCTGCAAGTGCCTGGATATCACATTTTGCATCCCATGAGCGATGCAGGCCCGTGATGCTTTTTGTGTTTTTGTGCATGTGTCTGCTGACTGCGCAGTGGGAACTAATGGTCTTGTGGGTGTGGCGAACCTCAAGCCATTTTTTTTTAGCTTAAATTACTTTTCAATTACCTGTCAAAACAACTCGCCTTTCTGTGGTTTTTATATCAGTCATTCAATAGGTTTGGGGATAATTACAGTAAAACGGAAGCACATGGGACATCCAACCCGTAATTTATGTAATATGTACAGTATGTACAGTGCACCAAATGTCCCCACAAAACCCTGCTATTTTCATGTTGTGGAGACCATTTTTTCGGTCCCCACAAGAGGAAACAGCTGCCCACAGACTCAGAGCAATTCCGATTGCTCCGCCTCCTAATGTGACATTATATTGGGCGCCCAAAAGTCAAAGGCAGGGGGGCGTGTCATACGTCTGCGTGCGGGGGGGCGCCACGCCCTCTCAGGTGCGCCGGGTGCCACTCCCCACGCGACCCTGGCAGTGCACCAGGCGACACCGTGCGTCACCCCCCCCCTCCCGGTCGGCGGCAAGGTGTTTGCAGGATGGCGCCGTGAGTCCAGTATGTGTGATTTATAAGTTACGTGTATGTGTCAATCAGCCTGTAATATATGTCATTTGTATGCTATGTACAGTGTGCAATGGTATTTAATATATGCAGGGAATGAAATGTTTGTTATGTTTGCAGTTAAAAACAGGGTTATATATGTAACACCTATGGTACAAGCACAGTGTATCAGCCTTTAATCAGTACACTGTGAATTAAACTGTATCACGATGTTTTGTATAGAGTGCTAAGTAGAGAGCAACTGAAAAGCATATAATAATTGTTACACGGGTGATTGTTGCCATTCACACCCAGTTGGTGACTGACCTGCAGCAGAAGGATGAACTGAGGGAATCTCTGGATGGGTTTTACCATCAGGCCATACAGGGTGATGCGGTCCATGCTGTTGATCTGCTGCTTCTGAAGGACGGTGGACATGGTGGGAATGAGGTCAGCCGGCTGGACGTGCAGATGCAAAGACGTGCGAACGTGCCCGCACTCGAGGACGGAGCTCACCTTCAGAAACACCAGGAAGGTGGGCTTGGTCATGCAGGCTTTCTTGATGATTGTCATAGCATGGATAAAGTTGTTGACGTATTCGCTGTAGACATCCAGTACCATGGATTTGGAGAACTACGATAGATGGGAAAACTGGAGTAATTTGCAAAACATTCACCTCCTTAATTGCCTCAGCACAGCAAGTCAACCTAACCAACTGGAAGATGCGTATTGCGGAAGTAACGCCTAAGTGTTCCCTGGTGACTGCCAGTGAAGGGTGATATTCCTCTGATTTATGCCAACGTTCATTTATGCCCAAGCTAGCAACTGAAGCTCCACCACGCTCTGAATGGGTTAACCGGAAACTTCTCTGGAGCGGGAAACTTTGACATGGCCGCAGGCAAGAAGGAAAATGCCAACTTATGGCTGAGGTCCTTAAAACACAATCTGTTTATTATCCAGAAGTTGCTGTAATTCATTGGGGAGGGGGGGGGGTCCAGAGAGATAGGAGGCCAACATCAATTTGCCTCCCTTTGATTAAACACACATGCCGGACACCCAGGGGTGCTGATGGCAGCAGATGGGGGGGGTGCGAGAGAAAATTAGGGGCTTGGCAACAAAAAATGACTCAGGAGAGGAGGATCCCTTGTCGACGCATCAAAAAAACGAAACACTGGGCAGGACACTTTTAGAATCCCCCGCATGTGAGGAATAATCCAGTACAAACATGTTACAATAACCAGGAATCGTCAACCTGTCCATACACAAACATAACGTGGCTGTTTCAAGACTCATCTGTGTCCATGACAAAATGTTTTGCTTAAGAAAAAATCGTAACTATGTAGGCTACGGTTTTAAATACCATGTCCAAGGTAAAAATTTCATTTTTGATCTGTCAGAATGTGCTACAACGTCCTCTGATAATAACAACAACAACAGTATTATTGATACCAATATGATGATAGCATTAGCCATTATTATAAAACAGAATGCGCGCTTGATAATCCCTCTGCTGACTTCAGTAAAGGTCACTGTTCCGTTCCTCTGGAGCGGTCGGCTGACATCGATCCAGCCAAGCAACAGATGGGATCGACTCAGCCAATGTAGCACTTTTAAACACTAAACGACGGCTCGTTCGCATGTCAAGTCGCAGCAGGTGACTCATTCCTCTAGATTAAATACGCAGAGATACTCCAGTGCGGGGGGAGGCCCCGTAATTGGACTTCAGGGCACCCCCGACCACTGCAATGTTCCAGATGGGCCAAACGTATATACCTACATGACAGCAAGATATCTGCATCGGCTGCTGTCTTGGGCTACGTTCCATAATGACACCAGTCGCTGTATGTGTTTAAGAAACCAGTTTGCTGCATTGACAGGTGTAAATGCAAAACCTGCATGAGGAGAAGACGAACTAGGCCTGCCTGACAATGTTACTCATGTCGGCATCATTACACCGTCTAAGTGACTGGGGTTTTCAAGAAACACATATTTATAAAGTTTTCATTTCATCCAAGCCGTATGTATCTTCTCTGAAGTCACCATCATTCATGTGCAGTTGTGCGTTATTCATTGTGCCACATCGGGGCCTAGTCTGACCCCACAACCCCTGCCGGTTGCCCCCAAGACTCACAGAGGCCACAAAGAGGTCGCCGATCTTCTCGCTGTTGTCCCACTCGGCCACCCGAGAGGTCAGCGCGATCTGGAACATGGAGTGGCACTGCAGGATCTCCTGCACTCGGTGGAAGATGATCCGCACCTTCCTGGGGCTCAAGATCTGGGGCTCAGCCTCCTGGAGGGGCTTCTGGTACTCCTGAAGATGGGAAGAGCATGATCCAGGGGGCATAGGAAGGATGGCAAAGCAGAAGGTGCAAAGTGGATAAGGCCAAACAGGGATTGAGGTAACAGGCGAAAACACTGATTCTATCTCAGGGATTTTCTCATCCTCTGATCTAAATTATGCTCCGCGTGTTGAAACTCTCCCATGTCGCACTGAGGATCTCCAAGCTCATACCTCCACGGTCATGTGAACAGGATATACATGCTATAGTACACCAGGCCATTTTACACGATGTATGACCACAGTGCAGTTTCGAAAACATTGCAAACATCCATCTATCTGGATAAACAGTAATGGGTTTTACCCTGGAGCTTAAAGCGGAAAGTACAGGGCATGATGCAGGAGACACTGAATGGGTGGGAAGCTAATCAGAGAACTTGATGATAAAATTAAACACTAATAAACGGTAAGTCTAACCGTGTTTTAATAATCAGTTAAAAGACTCTGAGGAGACGAACATTCCACAAGAGGTGCAGAGCTAGTGAGGGGGTTACAGTGAGACCTCAGCTTTCCTTTATGTAAGCCTTTCAAAGCCAATAATTCCTGCCATCATAAACAGCCCTGCTGGGTACATAAACTTGGTTTTATCTACTAAAGGCCATTCACGGCAACCAGCCATTTCCTTTTTTCATCTAACCCCCCCCCCCCCACCACCAAATTGGCAAAGTACTAAAGAAATCTGGTTCTGCCACAACTTAATTGAGAACAGAATTGTGCATATATACTTGTTTATAAGTCAAATCATGAAACATGCATTGGCACACTGTCCAATGGGGTGCTGCAGGGGTCTGGGCGAGGCGCTCACAGGACACCATGTCCGTGCTATATCACTGGGCCATGATTTCAACTGCGATAATAAATTTTATGCACCGTCAGCTGCTGACTGAGCTGATCTGACCTGATTCTGTATAGACTGGTTTCTAGGTTAATGATTTTACAAAAATCATCAGTTTCATAAAACAAATAGCCTGACTTCTGCTCATAAATATATACAGTGCATGGTGCCGAAATCAAAAGCGTGATTTATGTTTAGCATCAGTCACAGAGGAGATTCCAGGTGAGTGTGTTTAACGTGTTTTATGTGAATACGCCTCCTGTGAGATTACAGGCCAACGTTTAAGGTCTTACCTGAACGATCCTTCTGAGGGACTCCAGGTAACTCCTCTCGCTCTGAACGATGGAGCCCAGGATGTGGCGACGAAGAACCTGAGAACAAGGGCCCACAATTTAGAGAAACTGGACTTTATTTCACGTGAAAGTTAAAGGGGCAGTTCACCCCAAAACTGAAAAAAAAGATGCTTTTGATGGGAATTAATGTTATCTATCAATCAAGGTCGTTCTGCTGGGAGATGCCCAGTTTTGGCGAAATGGGGGGGGCACCTGCTGGCTGCTCAGACCCTCGGGCATGGGTCCCAGCCGTGGGGGTGGGCTCTTCGCCTCGGACACCATCACATCCAGGAAAACTGAATCGTCCTCCAGCTTCTCATCTGAGTAGGAAGGCGGACATGAGGCATCACTGAGAAACTCACGCCGCTCAGCTCACGC